CATATATTGCATGCTCTACATTAAACTGCATGCTTATAGTTACTGAACTGCACTTTGAACTCAAAGTTGGAAATACATATTGCCTCTTGAATGGCTTTGAGTGTTCCAAAATCTTTTTCACCGAGTTGTGTGATTTCGGAATGCATTTATTTTGAGAAAGATGTGTGAGGGTAGGCAACGCATCTAAATTAAAAAAAAACATCAATATATAAATGTCCAAGAGTAAGCAGATGCATTCTTGTTTACTTTTAAACAAAAGTCTAGTGTTTTCTCCCATCCCTTGTTCCTAAACCAAGGGAACTGTTCAACCACATCTGGTTTAAAAACAAAGCAAGAAGAGCATGATGTAGTAAGTCTGATAGTTTGGAGCTCAGTTTTCAGTGCTGTTCACTTTGAAAAGTTTTCTTTGGATTCTCAGGTTGGCAGCACAACCTAGGTGTTGTTTAATGTACTGAAGTGCTCATTTGAGTGTTGGGCAGTAGTTGTGTAGGAATGATAGATGGAGACGCACATAGCATGCAATAAATTCCTAATCTATGAGGCCTAACCATGTTCTAGGTGTGGCAGTGCTGCTAAGAGCCCAAGTAAATACGCTCTGGTAGGTTTTTGTGGCTTCTCTGAAGGATGAAGTGAGAAATGTCCCTTACTGTGGCTTTGAAGACACAATAAGAACAGGGGCAGTCCTAGGACAGGCCCCAAAGGGGAGAAGTGCTCAACTTACCTTTGTGTAACCACTGGTGTCTGATTTGACCAAGGAAAGGAGCAATTTGGAGTAAAATGCAGCAGACACTGAAGAGAAGGCAACAAATGCTGTTGGCAGGGTGGGATGCATGCTGGAGGAATCTTGGCCCAGTTTATGGGGAGCAAAAAAAGCAGTCTAATGTTAAGGAGCTTTCTCAATACTCCTTTTTCCGTCTTGTTTTTTGCAGACTGCTATTTTTAAGTCATGTGAAGTAGAGGTACAACCCACCTTTCAACTAAAAGCATTGTGATTTTGCAACAACAAAGGCAGGAATTTACAGAGCGAGGTTGTGTGGCAACAAAAACTATTTATTCCTATTGTTCAGGGGAGCAGAGAAGTTATCGTGAGCTGCACATGTTAAGCAGTAAGCATTTACGTTGGTGAGCAGCCCCCCTTCTTTTGTTCATGCACAGAAAGGGGAAGCGGCAGGAATGAGAAGCTAATTTTGCCCTTCAGTGAAGCAGGGAGGCTCTGGGACATGCAGCGTTAGGCCACTTTCCTGCTTCCTGCTTGGCAGACCCAGGAGGCCAGGCAGCTCCCTGGCCAGCATCAGCCCAGCTCTTCCTGAGCAGTTGAATTTACTGTTTTAACCAGTTGTTTCCTGCCTGATAAGGTGATGGAATAATAAGACTAACAAATCAAAGGACTGCCCTGCCTGCTGTTGCTTGGATGTTGCCTTTGTTTTGACTGGAGTCTGTCATATTGCCCACAGGTGTTATGGCAGCTGGGAGGAAATGCAAAGTTTGGCTTCTGAAGTAGAAATGTGAAATTCCACAAAACACACAGCTTTTCAAGTGTGAAATGTTGGAGAAAGCTTGGTGTGAAACAAGATGTGGGGTTTTATTTCTAAGAGAAATAATTAGGGAAACTGATCCACATCTGTGAATTGTCATAGAATCATTTAGGTTGCAAAAGACCTCTAAGATCATTAAATCCTGACAGCCCTGTCAGCTTTTTAGAAGAAAAACAAGTTAGCAGAAATGTTTCTAGGTCCAGTCCTGAACAGTCCCATGCAGTGTGCAGTATGCTTACAGGGATTTGCAGGCCCATGGCATCTGTAGAATCAAATGAATTTTTTTAATGTACGAGGGAATATGCTCACTTGAGCAAATACTGTGATCTATAATCTTTATTTATATTAATAGAACTGTACTGGATTTGGATACAGAATTTGATAGTATTTCTCAGACTGTGAACAGAGTAAATTCTATTACTGTACTTTTAGTGTGTGTCATGTTCTTGAATATATGAAGGGAAAGGCACATCAGTGATGTCTGTTTGGCTATAGTGTATCACTGCTGGCTATAGTGTATCACTGCTGGCTATAGTGTCCCTTTCTATTTACTAATAAATGTGACTTTTCTGTCAAAAAAGACTAAAATACATGGTCAGGTAAGTTGATACCAGCTTGACTATTGCATGTAATGGATGCGTGATTAAACTGACTATATTTCAACTTGCGTAACTTTTCTTTGGAACTTGCTCTCCTAAGTGACAACATTTGTAATTTAATAACACATCTAGCTGGCAGTTTCTTGATACATTGCTTGGCTTATTTGTGATGATGGCATTTTTGGTATATTGTCTAGAGATATTGCAAAATATTTTAGATCACTCATTGAATCTTTCTCTGTTTCCATAAGTATATCCAATTTAGTTATTTCGAGGTTGTAGTTTCTGCCAGTAAACTGATAGAACTGGCTTATGGTCAGTCTATACTTGTCTGTGAGTATATTGTGATAAGGAACTACTTGAAACCTGTCAGAAAATCTGTAGCTAAGCTCCCCAGTTTTGGATTACAAAAATTATTTTGAGATTTTCTAATTAGATATTTGTTTTTATTGAAAGTCAGACCACTCCTTGTAAAAGACTCTCTTATACAACTATTTTCTGACATTAGTTAAATCTCTGTTATATGGCAATAATAATTTTAGCAGAAAACTTAATGATTGGCTGACTTCTTTAAAGTTGTGCATATGCAGATATCTCCAGTACTTTTCTACATTTTAGTGTATCTGAAAATGAAGAGCCTGACAAGAACATTCTCTGTGCGTGTTGGAATCATGATGGCTTTGTGCAGATCTCCTTACAGCGAGTTGCCTTAAAGAAACTTTAAAGAAACTTGTGAGATCAATTTCAATAAAAATAAGACTTACAGTTTTTGTTTTTTTCTTCTTAACAGTTGAAACTCAAAGCAGCTAGAGAATACAGGAGAGAAATCAGAGAAATTGGATTTTTCAGGCTTTTCTTTACCTCCACCTTGGATTCATTTTGCTCAGTGGCTTTCTTACTGGCATCATATTTCCCCAGGAACCTTTCCACCATTTCTGAGACCAAACTGTCTACTCTCTGTTCTTCACTGCCGTGTTGTAACATCCCCGTCTTTACTGCACGTTTTCAGCACTGTGCAATCATTTTCATGCCCTACAGTCTTTCAGACCTGCTCTGTTGTAAGTAGTCTTGGTAGAACCCCAAGAAATGGAGCAGTCTCCTCCTTTTTCAATTTCCTTTTTTCAGTCTTTCTCTGCTATTGAGACTCGAGGTTTCTTTGTGCAAGTTACCAGTTTCTATTTCCATTTAAATGCTGCTAAGATTTTATATTATATATAATTATATATATATATAATTATATAATTATTTCCATTTAAATGCTACTAAGTAGAGACCATGATTTGTAAACCTCTTTCAGTTTTTTGAAAGGAAATTATTCTTTTAAGAGCTATGTATCTCAGGGTAGTTCCTAAGATCAGTTCCACCAAAAAATGTTTTTTGTAGAAAAGAGATGCTTTGAAATTTTGAGCGGTCTTGGTCTAGAGGTTCAGCTGAGCACAAGGAGCCACATACATAACCTGACCACTCAGTTGCTGTGGATGGGCAGTATCAACTATGAGTGCCATCAGAGCGCCTTCAGCTATTTGAAAGTCCACAAGCTGAGGTTTGTGATTGAGCAGTCTTTGTCTTGTAGAACTTGTTTCCACAAAAATTGGTTGGTGGATTTTGAACTTTCTTCATGGCCATCTCATGTTTTTCTCTTGTTGTCATGTTCACCTGGGGCAATGTTAGCCCTGCAGGTTGAAATTCTTTTGTGGACAGGAGACAGAAATAGAATGAAAAATAGGTATTTTTCTTGTCAGTTGTGTGGACTTAAAACTATATGTATGGCAATTTTACTCCACTGATGTTGAGGAGAAATGGACAGAATTTAGGAAGAATACTGTGATATTTGAGACAAAAGAGTAGGGTTGTTGGCCAGTGATGATGAAGAAATGAGAAAGATGAAAAATAGTGAGATCTGGAAAAGAATTTGCGTATCTCCAAGTCTGTGTCAAAATCAATATTGGTCTTCTACCAGTGTTCATTCGGCAATGGAAAACTTTGGTTTAATATTAGGGGGCTGTATGTTATCCTTACAACATGCTTGTGTTTGGTATAATTCTCTTTCTGCCAAAATAATTGATGCTAAGGGTACAGTATGCAGTGTCCATCTGCATCTATTGCAAGATCAAATGTAGCATATATATGAAAAGTTGCTTCTAAATTTCAACTTCTTCACAGGCTGACTTTGAGCATGAGCTTCTTTTCCATTGCTTTGGAAATGTACCTGCTAATGTTACTGGCATATTTTCTTCTATTTCACATAAACATTCTTGGGCTATTAAAAGTAAGGTTGCCAAAGTTTGGAGATGTTTACTTCTGAATGTGCTTAATTCAAATAACAAGAGCACTCCATTTATTATGTGACCTATTTATAGCCATTAAACAAACAATGGCATATGGATCTGCTTTTCTTTAATTCAAAGGATTTGTTGGAAGACTAAGAGCACAGAGAATACATTCTTAAAAATGGATTTGTTTGTATCTGATACTATGTAGAACACTGTACACTGAAGAGTGGTCATTTATTTAGTAAAAGTAGGTCTGTGTTCCATTCAAATAAAATAATTAAAAATAAATTATTGATTTTAATACTGAAGAAGATTATTAGGTAACTATTGTGGCAGCCAAATACTGGGGGAGTATTTCTCATTATCAGCCTTGTATAATCACTCTAGTGAATTTCTGAAACAGTATAAACATGAAAAATACGATTTATGTTCTGGCTCTTTTTTATAACTCATTTTGAAGCTTTTCTTATTGTTCTTCATTTACAAAGAGCTCTCAAATGTTGAAAGAGTTGACATATTTTTCCATAACAAAGTATTTTTATATTTCCTCTTTTATAAAGCTGCTAACAGAAATTCTCTTTTTTACTTCTCAGGTTGTTTTTGAAGTGGTAACTTCAGGTCACCCTGGATATGTGGCCATTGATGAAGTGAAAGTTTTAGGACATCCATGTAGTAAGTATCCACACACTATTTTAAAGTCTTCTAAAATGTATGTGCTACTGTCCCTCAGTAAATGTTAAGGAAAAGATACAGAAAATGTCAGAAAACAATGTCACTACTGCAAAAATATGCTAAGTATATACGAAATGTTGCTAGCATTTGATCACTGCACCTTACCAGCTTAGGAGATGTATTTTATATACCATTTTTGCACAGCATGAACTTGCATCATCAAACAATTCTTTCAGAACAAAAATCATCAGGACATGTTATATGTCTTTCTATCAACATCAAAAATTAAATGCAGCTACAAGCTGAGGCATTAATGAGGGAGGTGGACAATGCAAGAACTGAACTGATGACATGACTACTTTTCTAGTTCTTAGAAGGTAGAAAACTCAGCTGGTTGAGGGCTGTGGCTTTACCAAACAAGATTGCTCAGGGTAAATTCCCAGTTAGAAAGTTCACATTCATGACTAAATTTTTGAAGTTTTTTTACTGCTTTATTTTCTAATATGTTTCTTTATCCCATTGTGACAAGGCACTGACCTGCTAGAAGGGAGTTCTGCAAAAAAATACCTGAATGTCCTGATGGATAACAGGTTGGCCATGAGCCAGCAGTGTGCCCTTGTGGCCAAGAAAGCCAATGGTATCCTGGGTTACATTAAAAAAAAAAAAACATGGCCAGCAAGTCCAAGGAGATGATCCTCCCACTCTGCTCTGCCCTGGTGAGGCCTGATATGGAGTACTCTGTCCAGTTCTGGGCTCCTCAGCTAAAGAAAGACAGGGAACTTCTAGAGAGTGTCCAGTGGGGAGCTGCAAAGATGGTTAGGAGCCTGAAGCATTTATCTTATGAGGAAAAGCTGAGAGACCTGGGACTGTTCAGGCTGGTGGAGACTGCATATAAATATTTAAAGGACAAAAGTCAAATGGATGGAGCCAGTATCTTTTGAGTGGTAGCCAGTGACAGAACAGAGGGTAAACGGGCACAAACTTGAGCATAAAAAGTTCCATATAAACGTGGGAAAAAAAATCCTTACCCTCATCTTAAGGGTGAAAGAACGCTGGAACAGGCTTGCCAGAGTTGTTCTGGAGTTTCCTTCTCTGGAGATATTCAAATCCACCTGGAAGCTTTCCTATGTAACCTACTGTAAGGAGCCTGCTTTGCAGGGGGATTGGGCAAGATGATCTCCAGAGGTCCTTTCCAACCCCTACAATTCTGTGATTACTAAGAACATACAATACTTAGCTCCCTAAGTTATTTTAAGAGCGATATTAAAATCAACCTCATGAATTAAAAGTTGGATATAGTAATCCAGGTGTCTTTAACCAAATTGCTTACGGAAACTATCATTTCACATATCTGCTATTTGTTAAGTAACACATATTAAAGTCATACAATGAATTGTAGGTTGTAGTCTCACTGACCAAATGACTGAGTGAGGAAAAAGATACCTGCTTTGGCAGGGGGGTTGGACTCGATGATCTCTGGAGGTCCCTTCCAACCCCTACAATTCTGTGATTCTGTGATACCAAATGCTGTGTAATTGTTCATCCGCTTCTTATGACATATTGTACTTGTATGCATTCTTTGTGATTTGTAAGTATGAGCTGCAGTTTAAAATAAAAAGTGGCTCATTGGTTAATGCTAGAACACCTCATAAATATCGTTTTAGTGTTAGTGGCAAAAAGACACAGACATTTCTTCAAATACGGAGACAGTTATGCAGAATCAGCAGCTATTATTTCTGAATCACTTAGTTCTAATAAACACAGCAGGCTCTCGTTGTTAGGCAGTATTTGCACTTCTGCGTTCTGAATTCATATCTTAGGTTTGACTAGTGAAGTATGAAGGAGCACTTTATCAGCATAGTGATTTTTCTTAGAGTTTTTGAGAAGTTTGATCTGTGCATTCATTCTCAAAAGCTGCAAGTACTGAGTTATATCTCATAATGTGTAGAGTTCTAATTCTAAAGTGTTGATATTTAGAAACTGTAATGAAACACTTTTTCAATAAAGTAACTAAAATGTTAGAAATTAAAACATCACTGTCTACAAGAAAATAGAAAAAAGGAGAATTGGAAATAAACTATTTTGTATATAATGCCTTGCAAGACTCATAATGACTTTTCTTCCTGTACATTCCTAGAAAAAGTACTTTCTAAATGATTAACTTTTAACAAAAATTGAAATAGGAAAAATACCATGAAACCATGACATACATTTGAGGCAGTTGTCTGGGTAGCGTGGACAAAGGCCAAGTGAAAATTAAGATTGTGTGTAGAACTGAAAGACGTCTTTGGCAATTGGTTGGTTTGTGTGTGTGTATTTAAAAATCCTAAAGTCCCTTTCTACTTAGGCTATGCATTGTAGTTCAGAGAGGCTACCTTAGCAGTGTTTGGGAAGATCGAGGGAAAAAAAACAAGTATGGTAAAAGGGTAAAATTTGATATTAAAAAAATAAGAGAAACTTCCTGAGAATTTTACTGAATAGACAACCAGTAATAATTTCATAGGTGAAGAAGATAGAGGCTGTCTGCCCTGATTCCATTGGGAAATGTTCAAATAAAGACAAATGCTACATCTAGTAAATTTGCCAAAAGGACAGCTGTCATGAAAACATTTCCTCCTGCAATTAGATATTAACTAGAGCTGTTTTCTTCCATCTTTGGCTTCTTATACTGCCTTATGCTGGCTGTAAAAAAATTTGTTTTCTTCAAATCTGGTTGCTGATTATTTTCTGTTATAATCTGTAGTTTGCCCCAGTGATAAGCTCTTCTAAGAGAATGTCATCAGCATTTTAAACAGTTGTGATGCTCTGCTAGAAAGCATATGCTTAGTTTTGTAGTTTATTCTAATATTAGCTGTTCCATGACTGAAAGCAATGTTCAGAGCCTGGCTTATCTGCTAGTATAGACAGTACAAAAATTCTCCTTGACTGCAGTAGGATTTGAATTGCTGGGCAACAATGTGTTCTCAAGGGTGAGTTTCTATATCAAATTTCTATCTTCTTCTGTCACGTTTTTTGTTCTCTCTAGTAAAACGGAAATATACATGCTCTCTTTCCTTCTGCAGTTGAGATGGGTCTCATTTGAATATCTATTATTAGTTAGGTTAAATGCTGCTGTATTGTTTTCATTTTTGCTTAGGAGCATTTTCTCTTTCTAAATTGAAAATAAGCATCAGTGTGGAGAATGCCTTGTGTTCTGTTTTTGTTCAACACTTAATTTTATGGAAGGAATGCAGCTGTAGGTAGCGAGAAGCATTACGTTAGCATTTGAGCTGTTTCATGCTACAATTCTAAAGCATCTCCTCTAACTGTACCTGGTTAAGAGGAAGACCTGTTTCCCTGACAACATCTCTCAACTTCTTGCTGTTGTGTCTAGTCAGTAGTCTAGCTAATAATTTTTTATTCTGAGTATCAATTTATTTTCAATACAATTTCCTTAATACAGATTGTTAATTGCAAAAGGGATGCTGAGCTAAGATAATTTATAGCAGGATTAATTAAATAGCACCCATCATTTATGCTTTTTCTCAGAGACAGAGGAATAAAAGAATAAAATTAAAACAACCTAAAATATAATGTATCTTCAGTGATTTAAGCCTTTTGAAGTGGAACAGTATTCCATGTATTAATTATAATCATTGTATTTGTGTTGCTTAATTTGAATCCTTTTTCTTCTTCCAACAGCAAAAACTCCCCATTTCTTGCGTCTTCAGAGTGTGGAAGTCAATGCAGGACAATTTGCTACTTTTCAATGCACTGCCAATGGTAAATTCACTACAAGTGACAGACTTTGGTTACAGGTAATTTATTTACTTCCTAATGCTGTAAGATCTGGAGGAATGGGGGTTCTCCTTTCTGTGAGAACTGTAAAATGTATGGAAAAATGATAGAGCCATCTATTTGATTAACTTAAATTGCGTAATGCCTTTGAACTAATATGTATTAGGTATTGTCTTCTAGAAACTGGTGCTGGTTTTGTTACCTGTGGAGATCATGAATAAATGCACTATCTCCAGGGAAGGCCATGTCACTTTCTCCTAATGTCTACTCTGCCCAACTGTAATATTACACGTGACATTGTTGGCTTGTCTCTATATCTGTTAGTATAGTATTTTCCACTAAAACTTAACTTTCTTTTCAAATTTTGAGAAGACCAATATGGCAGTCAAATCTGACCTTCTGTTTTACAGTGCCAAAGAATCTTACCTGTATTCACTGGGTCTAATTTTTTTCTTATTCAGTAATGTAACTTCTAGATAAGTAACAGATCTTAATTTAAAGGCTGTCCTTATCCTTGTGTCAGAAAGATCCATCTTCCAGAATCTCTCTTGGTAATGGAGTGCAAATCTAATTGTTGTCTTGCTGCTGCCATTCCAGAGTTGTCTGTTCTTTACTGCAAACAGTAGTTTTTGTTTAGATTTAGCATTAGGGATATACCAATCTTCAGTTCCCTATACTTTCTGTGTGTGAAAAAACATGTAGAACTGAGATATTGTCTGTAAGAAGGACAGGAACTGCAGTATGTGGTGATGGAGGGGTAACAGAAATAGAAGCAATAGTAACGGGTGGGACATCGCTGTGAACCTCTCAGTTTTTTTAATTGAATTTATTCAATTTCAGATTTTCAGTACAGTTTGTCTTTCACCCTGCACTTAGTACAAAATTTGATCAAGCAGTTTGGAAATGATTCAAATATGTGGGCAGTTTAAAAAGCTTGGTAGTTTCAGGAAAACTAGCACACAGATAAGTATAGATCCACTTGAAAGTGAACTTACATGTTTGTCTACGTATGCTAAGTCTATACAGAAATAGCCCAATAAAAAGGCATTGGAAATCTGTGTTTTTATTTGGTTTTGCATGGGTATTTTCAATCGCTTTGTTGATATGACTGACGTTTCTCTAACCTTCCAGCCCTTTAAAGACCATATTATAGTGTTGAATTGTTAAATTAGACTCCTGTCTTCCCTAAACCACTGAGCTCTTTTGAAAGCATGATTTTCCAGTCAGGAAAAGAGTTTAGCACGTATGAGAAAATAATAGGTTGTTATTTTGTCAGTTATAACCTTTCCAGAGCCTTTGAACTTTTTCATAATGTTATTTTGTAAAATTGAAGGTAGGATTTATTATAAGAAAATCCAAATTCCTTTCAGTTTTTCCCTAAGTTTCATAGAAGTGTCATTTTCTCTTCAGGTTTTTCTTTTTTTGCATGGAGTTTAGTTGGTACATAAATTCTTTGTAAGGCTGGAATGCCATTTCTTTATTTCAGAAACTCAATTTCCTTTTAGATTTTATTTAGTATAAAATCATTCTTCTAAACAATGATAGTGATTCCAGGATATCTTTGCTGAGCTTAATTAAATGAGTCCTTGCTTATGCATGGTTACAAGAATAATGTTTTCTCCGTGTGAGGGATGAGAAAGTAGTGACAATCAGCCAACTAGTTTTCAAATAATTTCATATTCCTTTGGTGTTTATTTAGTGTTTATTTAGCCTGCCCGTGTAGTTGTAGCTCCCTCTAGTAACTTATCCAAGATTGTGCAGATTCCAGGTGTACCCTTGTGTGAGAACAGTTTAAAAGTTGTCAGAAACTCCTGGCTTACGTAGATTTATTTTCGTACTTGTTTGCCAGTTTCCACAGATGTCTGCTTAGAGTGGTCAGACAGCTCAACGTGTGGAATACTGCAAGTCAAGGCTATGAGATACACTTCCAAGTGGAACTGGCTGTGTTTTAGTGTAAAAGATCCCCAGACCTGGAGTTCTTCATCTGTCATTTAAAAACATGTGTTTTCATGATGTGATACTGAGGAATTTTGAATAAACTTGCTCATGACACCTCATGTCACTGCCATGGGACCAAAAGTACAGTCAAGCTATCTATTAAAGCTGCCAGAAAACATAGATTCTTCTGTGTCAAATGACTAGTTAAATAGACATTAAAAATCTTCTGATCACTCTTAATAGGAGAACCAATATTCGGTTAAAAATATCTTAAAAACAAAGGTTCTTATGTACACCAGTGCCAGAATAAAATGAGTGCTGTTCTACTGAACTATTGGTCCTGTACTCAGATTTTAGTGGTACTGCAAATAGTTTGTGCAACCTCTCTGATCTGTTCACTGGTAATATGAAGCCCTTTTCACCATACGTTTGTTGTTTGTTTTTGTAAATTCAAAAACCCTTCAGGGAAAACCACAATAGATAAATAAAAACAACTGTGTGATGTCAAAAGGAACCCTTCATTTTTGTTAGCGGTTTCTCATCATTTCTCCCATGCAAATCGTGCACTATTGCTATTTTATTCGGACATGGCAATGCCAAAATATCATGAGATAATTTGCTCCCAATAATTTTCCAGTATCTGTCATTTTTTTCCAGATTCACATTGCTAATCTGAAGGACAGGTAAACTGTTTGTAGAATCACAAGCCTACTGCATTCAGTGGCGTTTCTGATTGTTTTCAGTGCTGTCAGGTTTTCCTTTTTGTACTTTGTTTCTTTTATTGTAGTAGCCCCCAGCCTGTAGACATTAAGTGTAGCAGGAAATGTTTTTCTGGCGAACAAATAATTTTCTCTTTACACTCTGATAGATTGTTAGAGATAGAAGTTCTTCTAAAAAGAAAAGAAAAAAAAAAAAAAGAATGTAACTTGGTTTGTCTCCTTATCTTTGCTGAGTAGTTGTTGCAAACAACATAGATGTTCTTAGTTTAATAATGCTAAGGCATTGAAGCAAGTCATTCATGTTTTATTATTCCCACACACACCTTTTTTTTTTTTTTCTTCTCTTCCTTTTCAAGCCTTTCCTACTGTTATTCTCTATGGAACACTGAAGTTTGGAGTATTATAGAAGATTTTGCAATTGAAATGGTGACAGGTTACCACAGGTTTTCTGCCCACATTTGGTCCCTGAGACATGGAATATGTGTCTTTATCTTCTGATTGGTGTTTACTGTTTCAGGAAAGAGAAGACAGATGTTTGTTTGCCTATTCCACTGTGCAACACTTTGCAAAAAACCCGTAATTTTCCTGGTATTACTGGGCAGCTGTGGACCATAGTGCATGAGTTATGACTTCAGGCTCATTAGATAATTTGACTACTAGTTGTGGTTACTGTCAGTGATACCATTTCAAGTTGAAGAAAAGGACTTAAGAACATGACAGAATCATACAAGTTTGTTTTTGTTGTTGTAACTAATGTCCAGTTAATAAGATTCTTGGCTAGATTGTATATTTATGAATTCATGTCCTCATTAGCTTACATTCTAAACATAAACATTCATAAAAAATAAATGTTATGACACTAACGAAGCAATGTTTAGAATGAACAGATGTGTCCCATCTACTTACGTTTCCTTTATCACATCTGTGGATAACACAGGTTATTGTCAGTATGCAGTGACTCACTGAGTGAGCAAAAATTTCATATGCTGTCTTGCTGAAAGGACTATAGCAACTGCTGAAACTTTTTTTTTTTTTTTTTTAACTTAAATTAATTCCTATTAGAAACTTCAAAGTTTGTAAGTTGACATTAGCATTAAGATACAGTACTGGGCACTAAGCAAGATGGGAATCCAAAGCAATGGAAATACACCTCAGGAAAGGAAAAAAGATATGTTTGTAGGTGGAAGTTAGAATTTGAAGAAGAAAAAAAAAAAAAAAAAGCATGCAGAACACACGAAGCTGAGGCATTGTCCTTGGAAAATTGTGAGTTAGAGTTTAGTAAACTGGCAGAAGAAAAAACACTGCATAATCTGTGCTGTTTTGGAAATAGCCTTCTTCTGGAGGGTAGCCTAGCGCAATGAAAAAAGAACAATATTTATTTTCTTACTTTTACTGGAATCCTTTGAGCCACAAATTTAAATAGTAGCTTAAAAATAAGAACGAAGTTTCAAAAAATTGTGGGTTTACTTAAAAACTGGTAAATATCTTTCACTGCCAGCCCAAGTTATACACATAAAGATTTTCTTCTTTGCAGGTGAATGAAGTGTGAACTTGCACATATTGCATATTTACATACACAAAATATTATACTCAATGGTAGCTGAAATTGAAATGATTATAAAATGAAAACTGATTGAATATCAAAATTATTTTCAGGTCTATATGTGGGAAAAATTGTGCCTCAGCAGCCTTAGAAGTTTGAATATCTTGAGCATTTATTTTTTAGTCTACATACTAATGGTTTTTTTTCTATAGAACTCCCATCTCGTTTATTATAGTGGACAGTATAAATAGTTCCTTAATATTTGGTTTGCTTCCTACTGGCATATGCTTCACTTTGCATACTAAATACTGTACAAATCTATTCTAAAAAGTCTTGTTCAAGTTCTCATGGAATTTTTACCACTAATCTTAGAACAACACAATATTAAGATACTTGAGATGGAATAATAGGATCTTCATTTTGTAGTTGAGAATCATAGGCACTGGGAAATCAAAACTTACCTCTTACTTCTGGAAACAGAGTCTGAGTTATCTGTACCTGATCTTCTGCACGTGAGGCAATACATAGCATCTTCCATGCTCAGTGTTTACTGGTGCTAGCTGCAATAGCATGTGATCAGCACTTCTGGGAGTTGACCTCCAAGACTTAAATCAGGCATCTGAAATATCAGTGTACAGTTAGAAGAATCCTGGGAAAAGTTTTAAATGACTTGAATGGCATCTTTGACAGAGGCACATTCATTAAATCACACAGGTTCTTAAATTGTCTTGTTTGTAAATTGTTCCTCAGCTTCTCAGACCTGACTTCCTCTCTTTATTCTGCACACTTCTCTGTCTGCCTTTTGTCCTAATTTACAGAT